TAAGTATTGCGTAACTCTGCTTTTGGCAGTGAGCCCCATATAGCTGGAGCAAGAAGTTTTGGCCTATGAGAAAAGTGAAGCCAAGTCAATAGCTATGAAGGTTGTAAACGGCTTTAACACAATTTTTCCAGCTAATTCCAATTTTTTCTAACGAACCTATAGCTAAACAAGTTATCAGTTCTTTAAACAATAGTGTTATTCTTAATCGATGTCAAAATACGAAATTTCGGCACACTCCTTGCCAGCTTCGTGTTAACCGCGCAGACAAAAACAATAGGAAGGGACTGGGATTGACGTCTTCAATTCCGCCATCTTGACTTCACTTTTTGGACTCGAGTTCTCACTCCAGATTTGTATGGAGCTCACTGGCTTTTGGCCACCGAGTTGCCTGCGGGAAAGGCTACTATTGTTATGAACAACTGATATTGAATAACTGATATTTCTTTATATAGTCCCGGGATCTGCGACTGTTGTGATGGTCCAGTGTTTGGTCCTGGAGTAAGAATCATCAAGACTGTTGAAGAGATATTTGGAGTGAAAAGCATTCCTATTATTTTCACAGTTTGTACGCATACTTGCAGGAGAGCTTTTAAAAAGAATCCTAATGCAGTTACTAACTGGATGAACAAAAACTGCTCAAAACAAAATTCAGGAACAGGGAAATGATGTAATGAAGAAATCATAGAATTCATTCAAAATTTGGAAACTACATGCCATGGGAATACATAACACAACTCAACTATGTTGCTGTTTATAGGTTTATGCAAAAATCTAGTTCTTCCTTTTCAAGTGCGTATTGTCTCCCAATTTATCACGAATAGCATGCAATGCGTTCTGTTATCACAGGTCTAACATCAACTTGAACAACTGCGTAATTTATTTGGTGAAAATACAGTGCAGACGTGAGCAAGAATGTTTGTATAAACCTATGAATAACGATTCCTATATATTCTAATTCCATCGAGTTTTCAAAGTTAGGTCTGTATTATATTATGTAACTATGAAGAACGTACAGTATAATGAACAATAAATGCATGATAACACTCTAGACTGATTGTATAAAAACTCTTAACTATAGCGTTTTAACTTCTTATTTTGGTATAAATGTTATGGCGTAGTTAGAACATTATTACCCTCACTGGTTTTAAAAATGTTTTATTTATTCAGCTGGATGAATAAGAAATAAGAAAGCAAATGCACAAGATCAATGATACCATGTCACGCAAGGCAATTTTTACGTGGAAAAAATACAGCAAAGTTACGTCACAGAAAATCTTTGAACTTAGCTCGGGTTAACCCAGCATTCTAGTTCAACCAAGTGAAGTGCAAAACATATCTTGGAAATCGTATAGCTGATGCCCCCGCTGAATTTTGCTTTTCTCTCTCGCGTAGTAGAGAGGTACGATACCACGGTTCTGATTTACGGTTCGAGTATCGCCGTTTTGTTTACCAATTTTTGCTGATGTCAGCATTCTTACCCGTAATTTTTCCCCGTGGTAAACCATGGTCTACACGCAAAAGACAAACGGGTACGGGTGTTTTCTGTTTATTATTTGTAGGTCGTTTAAATAGTAAAAAACTAAAACATCTTACCCAAATAAATAATGCGCATATCCTCGTCAAAGTTTTGAACAATCTATGGCGAACCTGAACAGCGAAAGATACCATTCTCTGACCAGTTTTCTCACGCCGGAATATCTTGGATTTCTTAAGTTACAAGTCGTTTCCCGATTTACGGAACGGGTACGTTTATATCACCCGTACCCGTAAACCCGAATCGGAGTATTCGATTACCCGTCGCGGGCGCTCTTCACGCGACGGCGTAGCAATTCAAAGCGCCTGGGTACGAAACTGTCTTGGGTATGTTAATTATATGAAAATAAAACTTCCTTTGAGAAAAACTTGGAACATGCTCTCAATAGAGTGATTGCACATGACGTCACAGCCGCCATGTTGGTGTTCCAATTCAAAAGAATTTTAATTAGACCCTTTTGTCTGGAACGACACCCTGGGGAATGAGTACAAACGCTCTATAGGGCCATTTATACGAGGAAAATAAGCCGCTCCTAAAATTGGTCGCGAACGACTCGTATAAACAGTCAATAAGCCGCGGCCGGCTTATAGGCCAGATTTCGAGTCATTCGCGACTTACATTTAAGCCGCAGCTTATTTTCGCTCGTATAAATGGCCATAATGTTTGTGTGGATATTACATGGCTGTGTATAGGCCGATTTACACTACACCTGACTTTTGCCTAACACTGTCGCATGTAACCTGCTCACAACTTCAATTGTATCATTGTACTATGCAAATCAAGCACACAACTCACTTACGACAATATGTGCTTGATTTACACAGTACTACTCAAGTTGTAAGCAGGTTGCATGCGACAGTTTTAGGCAAAAGTTGTGTAGTCTAAATCAGCCTTAAATCTGTAAAGCCAGTTTTCCACTTCAATCGTATCCGGTACTGAAACGTAGCGTATTTCTTTGTTTCCTGAGCTGCAGTGTGGAACTAATGACTTCGACACAAAAGAAAATGCTACGGTACGTTACGATTGAAGGTAATTCCGCAGTTTTGCATTGCGCACTTATGCATTGCGCAATTTCATCCATTATACGTACCGTTTAAAAAAAAATCATTTTATGACAATTTTATGTTACTTCAAAACATCTTTGGTTACATTCGTGCATAGAATTACGTTAAAATTAATGTTTTCAAAAAAGGCATACAAAAGTGTAGCTAGGGTTCCTGTGTCTGTAGTATATTTATTTACTTGTATTTCATGTTTTAATGCCACAATTCCATAAAAAGATCGGTGACCCCCGTTTTTTAACTGATAATTTATTTCTTCAATGCATTTTACATTTCATATCCGAAATTAAAAGAAAAATCATTTCTGGATCTTGAAAAAAAATCCTTTATCAATGCATGTTCTCAAAGAAAGATATATAAAGAAATTTGGAAAAGACATTTGTGGATCAGAATTGTACACGTTAGTAGTTTCATTTTGCTCAAAACACAATACTTTTTCAAAAATAATTACAAGATAGGTTTACTAAAGCAAAATCCGCGCTAAAAACGTCAATAAATATCGGGCTGTTGTGAGTTTGTTGTTACTCGTAATGAGCGTCAAGATGGCGCCATATTGGGGTAAAGGTGGTATATTGTGATTGTCATATCTTCTTAACGAGTTCGGTGACCTCGACTTTTTTGTGTGATTTTACTTTAAGTATATCATAAACTCCATGCCTGGGAAGTTTCAGCACATTCTCATTTCGGTAACAATTACTGCGGAATTACCTTAATGCGATGTTCTGCGGGACGTATTTTAGCGACAATTCGCAATGCAAATGATGTAACATGAAATTTGATTGGATCGGCAACGATATTCATTGCAAATTGTTGTTAAAAATTGTCCCGTGGGACACCGCATTAAGTGTTCATCCGCGTGTCGCGTCATTATGAAAAATGTTCACTGCTGCATCCATATGCATGCAATAGGAAAACTTAATTATCAAAGAGGAAATATAAGCGTTTAATGGAAGAAGAAAATTGTGAAATTGAACATCTACTTCCTGATAATTAAAAATCTAATTTGAAGGACAGTTTCATATAGTAATTATATAGCCTTCCAAAACAATTAAATAATCAGGGAGAATAATCATTAAAATGTTTTAAAAAATGTTTTATATTCAGCTTCTAACTACACTAGTATTAATATAGTGTAACTTTTGCTGGATATAAAATCATATAAAATCACATCATATAAAACTAAATGTCTGCAAGTGATTCGACCTGACATGCAGTTTATAATTGTGACCAACCTGGTGATGCATAACTAAACTCTTTCAGTTTATTTTAACAATAAATCGTAAACTGTGAGAAAACATCTGCATTTCAGACATCCTGTTTTGAAAATAAAACAAACTCCATAACGATGTCATCATGAGCCGTAAGAATATGGTTCCATTATGGGAATACTACTTGAGGGTGGTTTTGATGGCGATATTCATCCTACTTACAACAATTCGAAATCTGCTCGTCATTCATGCAATATTCAAGATAAGGAAATATAGACGTGCATCACATGGGCTCTTATTGAATCTTTTCTTTTCAGACGCAATGGCTGGTTTCACCGTTATGGCAGTTTATATGATCAATTTAATTGCAAACAGAAACATATTCAGTGAACCAATGTGCTATTTTACTGCATTACTGAAAACTTGTATGACGTTATTCTCGCTTTATTCCTTAGCACTTCTATGCATTGAACGTTTGTTTATGCTCAAATTTCCAGTAAAACATCGTAAAATGTTTTCATCAGTACGGCCATTTATCCTCATTGTAATCGTTTTATCTCTGAGTATACCGTCTTTAGCGGTGAGCACCTTCGAAGTCGTTTACTTCCCCAAGCAACATTTATGCTGGTTTAATCTGGAAGAACTTTCTTTTGTGTCGGTATTTTTAATCCTTATCTTCGCTGTTCCTGCTTTGGCTTTGGTATTGAGCTCACTAGTTATTATCAAGACAATAAAACACCCGAAGCACGTTGGAACTAAACTGGTTGTTCCTGGTGGTGAATCTGACAATACACAAGGTAATAAATCAACGCCCAGTAGATGTTTAAAGTCTAAGAAGAACCTCCGTACATATTTCATGGTAGTACTAATGGTGTTGACATTCCTATTCTGTCATATCCCAAACATGATAACATTTTTCTGTGAGCTTTCTAATCATTGTCAGATCTCTGAAAGACTGACTGTTGGTGCAAAGTTTCTGCATTTCTCCAAAAGTTTCCTGAATACTGTAATTTATGGACTGCTCAACAAAGAAGTTCGCGAGAATCTTTATGTTCTCTTAAGAAGAAAATTGCTAAAGTAACTTTCTCGTCAGCTTGTACTGCCCAGAATATTTTGAGTAGTTTATGTCTGGAACTGTTTTCAGCAAACTGGGGAAAAGTTCTTACCTAGAGGGAATGGGAATGCACATCGTGGGTCTCAAAGTGTGATGAGACACGTTGAAGGAACGGTGCATAACTTGAACATTTCAGCAATTGTTGTTATATATAAAATAAACAGAAAACCATTTATTTGTGAAATCCTTTTGCTTGGCTCGAGCGTCACGTTAACTTATTTGGGTGAAGTGAAAACGTTTTAAATACTTTCTCTATGCATAAAATTTAACGAAATTCCCAGGTGTATAATAACGCGCGTTTAACAACAAAGAGTAGCCTAGTTCCTGCCTTTCCCTTCCGCTACGCGCGCTTGTTTGGGAAGTCTGGGGAGAGGTGGAAGGCCTTGGAAGGTCTAGCAAAATTCGCAAACTGTCCTTCTGGAAACCATTTTTGTCCTTCCAGCTTACATATTTAAATCGATGTTTTTGGACAATTTATGGCTTTGGGATGAAGAATGAAGGTATTTTGGTAAATGGAAGAAAGTGTATGTGCTGAAAGTTCGGGTAAGTTTACTTTATGGAATTCATAATTAACGAATTTTGTTAGGCCTTCTCCAGAGGCTCAGAACCAAAACCGAACCAGCCACACGGGAAGGCCTGGGACTACGCTAAACAAAAGGGTGATTTCTAAAGAGTCACTTTTTTATACACCCTGTACAATTGTATGCATTAATCGACACTGTCTCTGGCACGCAAATTTACTTTCGTATAGTGAGCACATGCTTGTGTGCAAGGTAGATGGAAATTCCGAAAACACCATTCCATTCTGCATGAAATTCTGTATAGGAGATGTGTTCCATCTATTGACCTAATTTTGTTCATCTATCAATAAACCCATGATAAATACTGTCAGGAAATTTTCATTATTGTCGATCAAAATTTTACCGCCCCCTAAATTTTTACGCCTGTACACCGGCTATGGTATACTATATAGCTTCAAATACGCCTGACACTTCAATGGACCGACTTGTACCTGTCCATCACTCATTAGGACTATTAAGCAAATCAGTTTTTGAATAAATGCATGGCCGTATAGAAGAAACAAAATACAACAAAAATTCAAAGATTTTGATGACCCAGTCCTTACTAATTTATTGAATCATTTTCTCATACTACGTTAACAATGCGACTTAAAGTGTTTTCAGCCGAAATTTTTCAATACATTGAGAGTAAAACATTGTTGAACGACACCAAATGGATTGGTAGTCTCACACATATAGACCCCACGATCGTGGTATGTCACTTGAGATATGCTATATGACTTGCCTGAGAGCTTCCCATCTCGATATAGATCCTTTTGGCTCACTTTGCCTCCAAACACGTCTACAAAAATATTAGTTATATAATTATGCTGAAAAATTGGTATAGGTATAATAGTGTAGTTTCGAGTGCAATTTGGAAAAAAATATGCATGTATATACTTTTCAAAATGTCCGGACTATGACAAGTCTACCAAAAAAGGGGGTCCAAATTTCACAATTTCACCAATTCCTGCTTTATAAAATTTGCTTTATAAAATAAATATTTTATAAAATTCTTTATAAAATTTGCTTTATAAAAAATGCTTTATAAAATTCCAATTCCTCCTTTATAAAATTCTAAACGATTATACTGCTCCTAACTTGAAAGAGTGATTGATTGGGAGTAGTTTAACGTAAGCGAAATATAACTTAAGAAATAGCTATACTGATTTAGCTCTCCCAAAAGCGAGAAGGGAATTCCTAAAAAAAGTTTTAAATACAGCGGAGCAAAGCTTTGGAATAGCCTTTCTCAGGAAGCAAAAGAGGCACGATCAATCCATATTTTGAAAGAAAATATTAATCTTTGATTCTGTTACTAATGTTAATGTATTGGTCACACCTCTGTAATTCAGCATGCACTCTTGTAAATAGTTTTTCTGTGTTTCTACGTATTTTCTTGCAAATACTTTTTATATATTTAAAATTGACAACGCCCCTCATGAAAACCAACGTATGTTGATGAGGCTAGCGTCTTGAGATAAAATTTTACGATACGATATGATTCGGGGAGGGGGGGGGGCACTCGTTGCAAATTTTCAGGGCAATTTGCAAAAATGTACTAGCAAAAATTTTATGGTCATTTTTGCCGGGGTCCCCCCGCGTCTGGACACCCAAACACCCTCCAGTTACGCAATTGAGAGCAACACTGAACAAACAATGCAAAAAATGTGGATAGGTTGAGCTATCCGCTTTTACCTATAAATAAGTTTCGATTCCGACTACATATTATTATAGAAAACGTACCGCCAACGGGGTTGACTTTCTTCCAAGAGATGGAAAAGCTGGGGTACGCTGAAGTATGGCAGACAAATTCCACATTATGCCCTTCTGTAACATTGGTTTGACCAACTGGGGTTATCCTAATTTGCCCTTTACCTGAAAATCAACAAAAGTAATTGGTCAACTTAACTACAGTGAAAACCTGCATATTAAAAACTATTATTAAAAACTACCAGCCTGGAATTTAGGCAATGAAAGCACCTAAAATACAAGAACCACTTCCGGTTGAAAAATACAGAAAGGTTGAAAGCAACTTCTGATTGCAGCCTTAAGCTTCTTCATATCCAAAAATTTATATCCAAAAACATGCTCTCTTGTTTATAGTACTCATGCAAAGAAGGCACATTTAATCAAATTCAGATTGGCTTTCATAAAACAATCACCAGGAACAATTGGTTCATTAGCCAGGTACAGTCATACCGACCTGCCTTATGTGCGGGTGCAGTGTTCATATACGACACTTTGGATGAAAATTAACAAAGGGTGGATGTATTGGCATATACTGTAGTTCAAAAAATAGCACGAACCTATAGAATTTTAAACGCTGACTAGGAAATTAAATTTACTTGTTCTTAAGCTATAAATCATGCAGTTTCTATGTATTTTACGATCAAGCATTCAATTTTTTCCTCTAAGAAATTTCATGTTACTAATAAAATGGAGTGGAGGGAGAATGCAGTTGAATCACCTACAAATACCATACTTACGTCCACAATCGTCCTTTTTAGTTTCTCCCACAGAAAGCGTTGTTGTATTTCCAGTACATTTCAGACAAGATGTTGATCCGTGATTTGGTTGATATTCTCCAATACGACAGAGCTTGCATGATTCATTATCTGTTGGGAAGCCGGAGGTTGAATACGTGCCAGGGATACAGAGATCTAAAAATAACAAAGATTATCTTACTTTAGTTTTTATTAAACTTATGGGGATGTTTATATGAGTCTTACATGAAAGGCTACCAATACGGCTGGTTTTCACCTCGTGTTCACATGAGAAATATAGCGAGCTTACACGGATACAGCGAGCTTTGCACTCAGCCCTATACAAGAGGGCCAGTTATCTCCCCATGCTGCGTTCCAACCCAACTATAGGCGCGAAGTCAATGGCAAGATCTCCCCCTAATAGGGCTGGCCCTCCTTTCATATAAACGAAAACATTTTTAGCATTATGTCGATTTCAATTAGCATGCGAGATCTCGCCTAGCCTCGTGGGCCAGATCTAGAAGTCTGAAACAAGATAGTCTATCAGTCGATTGAATATTTTAAAATTTCACTGCACAAAAAATCATCCCTGAAAAATTAACCCCCCCTTCATATACTGAGGAGATACTAGACTAGCTCGTGTCTAGACTAACACGTAACTTGGTTTTACTATTTACATAAAGTGGCTCGATACGATTTTTTAAAAAAATGGAAAATTCACGATTTAGATCCGTATTGTGGACAAGTAGCTAATGTATTACTTGTTGACGCGTGCATAACTTGTTGAGAAACAAAAAGTATCTTACTTTTTTGTAAAACAACATAAAAATGTTTCACAAAAGTTGCGCAACTGCCGTTGCGTTTCAAGATGGCGGATATTTGACTTTAAAGTAATTTAACTCGTAACATCGGTGACCCCAAATTTTATTTCATAAAATTATTTCTCTTGGTACCCAATTATTTTGACAATTTAAAAAATATTCTTTTGAGGGAACATTTTTCATATTACGTAGCTAAATGTGACTATTCATTTTTTTGCTCACGAGATAATCGATCATGAAAATGAAATGATAGGTTATTTTGTTTCTGATGACTATATGTGCAAATCAGTAAAAAGTATTCGCCTCATTAATTCATTTATGACCAGTGACTTTTGGTGGAATTTTTTTATTGCTCTTCATATCTCTTCAAAGCTTTATATTCTATTAATTCTTTTATTAGCCCTTATAATATTTAGTATAACTACACAGTTATAATGAAGCATAGTTACTGTACTAGTTAGCTAGGGAAGGAGATCGCCTTTGTTCTCCTATACTGCCCAATTATTTTGAATTCGAGGAATGGTTCATGGATTTATCCAGGAACTCCAAGTGGAGTCAACCTCCAAAATTCTCATTAACTTTAAAAGACAATTTTGTTTTTCTTGTATATTCCATTCTTGGATGCTGATGAAAATGAATGAATGCTGATGAAAAATTTTCACTGCAATTATATATCCTTAAAATTAATGAAGCCAGACTACCGAATAAAACTCTTTATGCTATACGTGATATACTTTTCCTTACTTTTACACTCCTTGGCACCGCTTTCCATGGCTCCTTGATGAGCTGGACATTTTTTACATGATAGTTGTTTCTCCTTATCTTGGTAACTCCCCGAAGGACACTTCTCACATGCTCCATTGTTGTAAAATGTTCCAGCAGGACAGTTCGCTTAAACAAATAATGTATAGTAGTTAATTCATGAATATATTATATACATGCATATAACATTTTTTCTTTATGTAGTCCCAGATTTTACAACGTCAAACACAAACGTCATGATTTACAAGGTTTGTAAAATCTTCAATCCTCCCACGGACAGCGTATATAGATTATGATTATGTCTTAGTATGATCATCCAATATTTAGCTATGCTTTGATGTAGATGATGTCCATGAAAATCCGAAACGCTTGGTCTAAAGTTATACTTTCTGCAATCTTAAGAACGATGTGTGTTGGCATGGCTAAATAACTATATAGGCTATAGCAAAAGGTTTTTTTGCTTGTGGAATTCTGTAAGCTTACCACAAACTTTGCCTTGAGTAGAATCTGTTAATTCAAATGTTCCTTCAGGGCACTTATCAACAAACTGACTGAAGCCTAAAGATGCAAGTAGAAGTAAGTATATCAGTAGAATTCCTTACTTGCATACATTAAAATATAATTATACAGAACTCAGAAGTGTATGTAATTAAAATTATGCCCATCGTGTTATGAAAATTGATAACTCACGACAGTAGCTATCAGCCAAATTTGATTCAGAGGAATGAGATGGTTTAATGAAATCCTCCAAACGTTAACATGCAGAATGTCCGCCAAAATAGACGAAAAGAACTTCATCATCGTCCAGGGGTGGATTTATGGGGGCGGGTGC